TTTTTTTTTCCTTTTTTTTTTTAACCATTAAAAACAGTTATGAAATGTGGCATCCCGTTGATGCAAGGAGGCATGTGGTTTGAATCCACCAGATGCTCCACTGGAAAAGGAGAGGCAATCTCCTCCTGTTTCAGTAGTGTATTTATCCTTTAATACAATTTCTGCTATATTGGGCTTTAAATCTCATCTTACTATTTACTATTTGTTTAATGTCCCTTTTTGATTGTTAGTTTTGGGTTTTTCCCCCCTTGTTCTACATTTCTTCATAGGATGATTAGATGTATCCTTCATTTTATTTCTCCTAGTTCTTTGCGTGTTATGTAGTTTTATGAATAACTTTACTATCAGGAGAGAAGTCCTAGTGGCACTGTGGCTAAGGCATTTGGGTGTCATGTTTTGAGCCCACCAACCTCTCCATGGTGAAAGATGAAGTCATCTATTTCTGTAAGATTTACAGCCTTGGAAGCCCAGTGGGGCAGTTCTACTCTGTTCAGAAGGGTTAATATCAGTTGGAATCCACTTGATGGCAGTGAGTCTATTGTTGTCTTGGTTAGTCTGGTGGAGAATGAGGACATAAATTACTATATTTCCACTTGCTCTCATTCTCTCATTACCATTCATTTGGAACTAACTCTTAGGTGTTCCTTCCATGGGTTTTCTGAAGCTGTAAGTCTCTTGGAGGGAGGGTACCCATTGTTCTACCTTGGAGCCACAGGTGAATTTGAAGCACCACAGAGGCTTAGCCTTTGAGATGGCAGAACACCTGGTTACCAACTAGGTCAAGAGAGTTCCTTTCCAGTCAGTAATGATGAATATCTATTTTTAAATTTTAAAAAGTAACTGTGTGTTATATGTAAGAAAGAGTTGCAAATTAATATGAACATTTCATTTTAACCTTTATATGTATAAAGAAGAGGGATATATGCAGGGAGAGAATCCAGTGGAGTCCTTTTTGGTACTAGGGATAAGAAGTAAAGTGATGTAGAGTGGAGTTAGGGAAGATGTGTGTGTGTGTGTGTGTGTGTGTGTGTGTACACCCAAAAGTTTTGAAGCTTTGTGCATGAATTATTTAAAAATTAAATTGTTGTTAAGTGCAGCTGAGTTGGGCATGACTCAGAGCAACCCTGTGAGCAGCAGTTCTGAGCCCTGTCATATCCTGCCCCATCCTTAACCATCCGTGACACACTGAACCCATTGCCACAGACCTTGTTTCAATCTTTTGTTATCTTTTAAATTGGAGATTTGAGGGAGGATAATTTTATGCCTCTCCTTAACCTGTCATCTTTAGCCAGAAGTTTTTAAACTCCTTTAAGTGGTTTAAAACGGCTTTAAGTCAGTTAAAGCATAGAAATTGCCTCTTTAGTCAAATACCATATATTTATATTTATCTGTATTGCATGTTCTCTTATGACTAGGTTATAAATATATATTCACTGTACTTTTTATCATGACTTGTTTATATTAAACATGAAAGCCTCTGTTGCTTTGTTCTTTAAGAAAAGGTATCATTTTATCTTTCTGAAGGGAATTTTTGGTATTTTATGTTAAAAAAAGATAAAAGCAAAGTAAAACAACATTGCCCTTTATTCAACTCTAGATGTTCTTGTTCTTTAACTGTTGTTAAGTGGATGAGTGAGTAAACATATGAATGAAATCACAGTATTAGATTTTTAAACCTTATAGTGCCTGTCATGGATTGAATTATGGCCTCCAAAATATGTGTATATATGTAATATTGAGAATGGAATGTGAAACCACTTTCTTTCTTGCCAGTGGATCAGAGCCTATCCAGTATCACTATAAGAAAACTAACCTTAGAGGCTAACATCTTATTCTTTTCCTTTATTCATTGTTATAAGTTATTCTTATGTTAAGTAACTATTTGGAATACTGAATAATGTTTCTATTTTTTACATGAAATTTAATTATTTTCTTTTAACATCGTCTGAATTTTTCCCCAAATGATGGTTTTTACAAGTCTTTAGTTCAGCTTGCTACCTTAAGAAAAGAAATTAGATCTTCAAGTACCTTAACTTAAACAACAGACTAACTTCCTTATTTTTTATCATTATCTTTTAAAGAGAAATCATGGAATTAAAGAGGAAAATAATACTGATTTTTATTCCCCCTTTCTTTTTGGTAGGTTTGAGAAATTTCTGTGGTTCATTAGCTCAGAAAACTACTTAATTATAGGGGGACGAGATCAGCAACAAAATGAAATAATTGTGAAAAGATACTTAACATCAGGTAGGTAAGGTAAACATCCAATGACTTCCCCCCCTGAATGTTGAACCATTTTCTCAATATTTAATATAGATTTTCATTTTGTGCTTTTAGATAACAGATTTAATTAACAGAAAAATATTTCGTGCTTTTATCTGTTTGGGCACTTAATTTCTGGAATTCTTTTTTCCTTTTTAAAAATTTTATATTGGTTTGCATACAGATTTCTTGTTTTAAGTGATATTTCTAAAATAACAATGCTGAGTGAATCTGTACTTTTGAATTTTTTATTCTTTACTACATTAGCAAAGTAGTTCTTAACCCTCCAAAGTTATTTTTTAAAATAAAATAAATAAATAAAAATATTTTTTAAAATGAAGGTTTTAAAATCTTCATTTGTAGTTCTAATGTTTGAAACTTTCTTTCATGGGACTTACTGTTAATTACTTGTTTTTCTTTGAGGTGACATTTATGTACATGCTGATCTTCATGGTGCAACCAGCTGTGTAATTAAAAATCGAACAGGTAATAGATTTCTGTTCTTTCAAAACCATTTCCTTAAAAAATATTTCAGTCAAACTATTAATATCTTGATTGCATGTTTGATTCATCTCTGACTGCAAAAGTTGGTAGAAATCTTCTATTTCCTCCTCTTTGGCTCTGATTGTTGGTTGTTGGTGCATATATTTGAAAGATGGTATCACTGAACTTTTTGTATATGTATGGATATTATCCTGTCACTCACAACATTGTATTTCAAGACAGATCTAGAAATTACTTTTTTAACTATGAAAGCCATCCATTTTTCTTCCTTTTTGTCTCCAGCATAGTAGATCATATGATTGTCTGACTCAAAATGTCCCATGGCAGTCCATCTCACCATTACCTAGTATGTCCATATGAAGCTCAACATCAAGAAAACAAAGATTTTTAACACTGGGCCAACTGGCAGCATCATGATACATGGTGAAGAGACTGAGATTATTAACAGCTTTAGTTTGCTTGGCGCCATGATCAACACTCTGGTACCAGCAGCCAAGAAATGAAAAGATGAATTGCATTGGGAAAGTCTGTTGTTAGAGATTTCTCCCAAGTACAAAGTGTTGAAGAGCAACAATGTCAGTCTGGAGACTAAGGTGTTCCTGATCCAGGCCATAGTCTTTGCAATTACTTGCTATGCATCAGAAAGCTGGAGAATGTCTAGGGCTGATAGAAGGAGAATTGATGCCTTTGAGCTGTGGTGCTGGAGAATAGTATTGAATATACCATGGACTGCTAGGAGAACAAACAAGTTGATCCTACAGCCTGTGACCAGGCTGCTCCTTGGCGGCAAGGATTCTGAAGCTTTGTCTGACATACTTTGGACATGTTGCAAGGAGGGACCAGTCCTTGGAGAGGGACATCATGCTTGGGTGGGTAGAGAGGCAGCACAGAAGAAGACCCTCAATAAGATGGATTGACTCAGTGACTGGAATAATGAGAGTAGGTTTGTCAGAGACAAGATAGAGCAGGGTTTAGGGCTGTTGTACATATGGTCACTGTGAGTTGCAGGCGACTGGATGGCACTTAGCAACAACTGTCAATATAGAAAGCTCTGGTGGCTTGTAGTTGTGTACTGTCAAGTTGAAACTGACCCATCGCTCACCCTCCAGCAGTTTTTCAGACACGGTACATCATGGGAGGAGACTGCCTATTTTTGTTTCAAACCTTTGGATTGACATACTGCAAACCTTTGGGTTGACAACGCAGTTCCTTCTCACCGAGCCACCAGAGCTCCCATTAATAGGTTTTAATCTACTGTGTAATTTAAATCCATCAACTCCACAAGAGAAAGATGGACAGTCTCCTCCTGTATGGTTTACTGCCTCTGAAAACCTTCAGGAGGGTCAGCTATGATTCGGTCTGATTCCATGGTGCATTTCAACAGCTATTAATAGAAACAAGGAGGGACTTTTGCTAATGATAATACGATCAGTCTGCCAAGAGGTTTGGGGTTTTTTTTGTTTGTTTGTTTTTATTAATTTTAATGAAAGTTTACAGAGACTTAGGGTTTCCGTCATTCATTGTTGCACTTTTCCCTGCCCACCCCCTCCCACCCAATTCACTCTTCTCCTGTCGGAGGTTTTAACAATAATAAACACATATGTACCTAATGATACTGCCCCTAAATACATAAATTAAGAAACAGAATTGAAAGGAGAAGTAAGACAGTTTAGCACTAGTCATTAGAAATTTTAATGTTCTCCTTTCAGTTACCATTGGAAAAATTAGGTCAATAAGAAAATAGAGCCAGCTCTTTCTCTCACTACTGTTGTTTGGAGTTTGAGTTCTTTCTGTGCTATAATTTCACCTTCCTAGGCAGACACAGAGATCCAGAAAAAGCTTCAAGCTTTGACTAGTTGTCCAAAGGCCCGCCAGAGACACTTAATCCAACCTTGGCTCTGAGGCTTTCTAGGTACTCACTGAGTAGTATCTCAGGAACCCTCAGCTTTCACTAAGTGTCAGAAATGCCATTAAAGATTGCTAGTGATTTAATTCTTGACCTTTTATCAGAAAGTCCAACTCAAAAGAAAAGATCTTACATATATCAAGAGATGGCTTTCCCTATAGGCAGAGTAGAATAAAAATGTGAGATCAGCAGAATAAAATGCTTGAAAACATAGAAAAACTGTGATAACTATTTCTACCTGTCTTACCTGCCTAAGAGGGAACCAAAGGGCATTGTATGTGAGGGTGTTCTAAATGGATCAAGAAAAGAACCATTCATATGTGGCTACTTTATTAACTGTATCATAGATGGGATTCTGTCAGGAATGCTAGGATGGAGAGCAGTTAAGACACTGTCATTTAGAAAATAAGCCTTAGACTGCTCTTTTTTCTAATTTAGCATCTCTGCAGCAGTCTGAGAAAGCTACTTTGTGCTGGGACAGGCTACAGAGTAATGGATTTCAGCAGGGAGTTGTGCTGCTAACCAGAGGCCACACCTGTCTGGCAGCACAAACCACCAACATGGCTCTTTGGGAGAAACATGGGCACTCATAGAATTACAACGGAGTAGTTTATAAAGTGTTGAGTGATGTATTTCCTTTTCCTTCTTGCATCTCTTTTTTTCCTGACCTAACAGTTAAATTAGTTTGAATGTCTTGTTGATTGCAGTACACTTTAGTTAATTCTTTCTGATATAACCTCAAAAACACCAATAGGTCTTGAGTATTGCCTCTGTATTTCAGAAGACAGAACTCAATTAAATAAAACCCATCATGAGTATAAAACATGATAATCTGTAGGGGAAGAATGTAAAGAAAATATTGGGTAATTTTACTAAAGCATAATAATGAAAAGAAGGTGCATTAACTTTTTCCTGTATTTTAAAAATGTGAATCAGATTTTTAAAAAGCAAATGAATATGCCACTAGGTTTTTCTAAGAACTCATTAAAATTGAAATGAATATGAGTAATAAAAGAGTAGGAAAATAGAAGACATGAAGAATTCTAGGCCTAACAGACATCTATAGAGCACTCTTGTATAGCAGCTGCAGAATATACCTTCTTAAGTAAGTATGGAACATTCTTTAGATATTAGCCTACAGAACAATTTTTTTAGTAAATTTAAAATTAGTAAAACCAGGCAAATTATTCTCTGACTATAATGAAATGAAATTAGAAGCCATAATAGAAAAAATTCTAGTAAGTCCACAGGCATGTAGAAATTGAAAGACATAGTCATAAATAACCAGTTTGTCAAAAAGGAAGTTAAAGAATATTAATTCTAGTTAACACAGATGTTTTAAGCACTTGATTGTTAGCCAAATTGATTAGTAGATGGTATTTTGAACCCACTCAGATGTGCATCAGAAGACATCGAAGTCTGATATTCTGCTTCTGAATGGTCATAGCTTTTAAAACCCTGTGGAGCACAGTTCTGGTTGGACACTCAGGTCACCATGAATCAGTATTGACCCATTGGCAACCAACAATAGGAGCAACTATTGATAGTATTATTTGATACACTATTTTTTGCTATTTTGAGATATATATATATATACACACACACACACTCTTGATACACTATTTGATAGTATACAAATGATCAACAAACACATGAAAAGATTCAGTAGAGAAATGCAAATCAAAAGCATACAACTTTACATTAATGTTTTCAGATTAATACTGACTCATAGAGACCCATATAGTGGCTCTAGAGTGCTAAAGAGCAGTGATATCAGACTGTAGTCTAAGGTGCATGTGATTCAGACCATGGTCTTTGCAATTACTTGGTATGTATCAGAGAGCTGGATAGTAACTAAGTATGACAGAAGAAGAATCGATGCATTTGAGTTGTGGTGCTGGAGAAGAGTATTGAACATACCATGAACTGCTAAGAGAACCAGCAGGTCTGTCTTGGATATGATCAAACCAAACTACTCCTTGGAGGCAAGGATTTTCAAGCTCTGTCTCACGTACTTTGGGCACGTGGCCAGGAGGATCCAGTCCTTGGAGAAGGACACCATGCTTGGAACAGTGGAGAGAGAATGCAGGAGTAAGACCTTGTATGTGGACGAGATGATTAACACAATAACTAGGGTAATGGTAGGTGTATCAGAGACATTGAGACTGGTTCAGGAAAGGACAGGCTTCAGAGCTGTTGTACTTGGGGTTGCTATGAGTCACAGGCAACTCAAAGCCACCTAACAACAACAGCAACAACATGGTGACTCATAAACAGAATGAAAGTTTGCCTGCACCTTCATGATTATTGGTATATATGCTTAAATGCATTGTTGCATCCATATTGAATGCTTTCTAACCTGTAAGTTCCCTTCCAATACTCATTCTCTCGTTTCTGGCAAGTCATAACTGACTCATAACTGATCCTCTGTTGGGTTTCTCAAGTTGTAAATTGCATGGGCAGAGATTGCTTATTTTCTCCCATCTTTCTCCAGTTGCTACTGGCCTTGAACTACAAGAGAGGCATGGTCTTTGGGTTAGCAACAAAGCTCTCTATGGACTACACCACCAGAGCTCCTTCTTCCAGTGCTACTAGAGTAATATTCTGTTGTTCAACTACTAGCACTGTTAGTTGTGAACCATAGGGTTTTCACTTGCTAATTTTTGGAAGTAGTTTTGAAAGCCAAGGCTTTTCTTCCTAATCTCGGAGTTGTACTGAAACTTCCATCACTCTACTGGTATTTGAAGTACTGATAGCATTGTGTCCAGCAACATAGCCACGTGCAAGTCACCATAATCCTGACAGATGAGTAAGTAGTCACACTTGCTCAGCCAATCTAAACTTACCTGCTGTTGAGTAGACAGAGTAGACCTGCCACGTGGTGTTTCTCAGGTGGTAAATTTTTTTTTTGCTTTATTTTATCAACATCTTAATAATTCCCTTTTGTATAAAATCTTATTTCTCTTTGGGTTCAGTGAGGTTGTAAATCTTAACTGGAACAGACTGACTTGTACTTTTCTTATAAAGTTGGTAAGTTCTAACCACTGATCTCTTCACCCAAATTCTTACCACATTGTGCAACCAGAACTTCTGTCACATCTGCTAGAATGGGATAGTAGTAACCAAATTACAAGTAGTGAGGCTGATGTAGAGAAATTAGAGCCCTCATACACTGCTAGCAGAAATGTAAAGTGGTGCTACCCTGTGGAAAAGCAGTTTTGGCAGTTCCATAGGAACATATAATTCCGCATTTCCACCGTTAGGTTTATACCCCAAGGAATTGAAAAAGGTGTTTAAGCAAAACCTTGTACACAAATGTTCATAGATGTGTTATTTGTAATAGCAAAAGGTGGAAACTACCTACATATTCATCAGTTAATGCATAAATAAATATGAAAGAAAGTTCAGATGCATGCATGCTGCAACTTGGATAAACCTTGAAAACATGCTAAGTAAATAAAATACAAAAGGACACTAGTTAACTATACAATTGCCTCTATGTGAAACATTTCAATATAGAAAAATCCAGAAATTAAAGGTGGATTAATATGTACCAGGTGCTAGGAGCTAGTGAATCAGGACTGACTACCAGTGGTTATGGGGTTTCTTTGGAAGATGATGATGATCAGGAATTACATAGTGGAGGTGACTGCACAGCTTTACAGAGACTAACAAGAGACAATATCAAATAAGATGGAAAAAAGATTGAAGTTGTCAGTGATTTCATTTTCCCAGGATCCAGCATCAACACCCTTGGTATCAGCAGTCAAAAAATCAAAAGACAGATTTCATTGGGAAAATTTGCTGTCAGGGACCCCTGCAGCATACTAATGAGCAGTGATGTCAGTTTAAAGCCTATGGCATGCCTGATACAGACCATGGCCTTTTTACTTGCGATGCATCTGAAACTTGGACAATGACTAAAGATGACAGAAGAATCAATGTGTTTGGATTGTGGAGTTGAAGAAGAGTATTGAATATCCCATACACTGCCAACTGAACAAAAAGATCTGTTATGGGGAAAGTGAACCAGTACTCCTTAGAGGCAAGGATGGTGAAGCTTTGCCTCACAATGTTATTAGGAGAAGGCAGTCTTGAAAGAAAAACGACATGCTTGGAAAGATAAAGGGAGGGTCAGTGTAAGAGCAGAAGACCCTCAACAAGGTGAGATTGACACAGTGACTGTAACAGTGGGCTCAGATGTCTGAGTTGGTATGGATGGCACAGAACAGGGCAGGGTTCAGAGCTGTGCGGCCTGACCTCAAGTCAACTTGGTGGCATATGTTGTTGAGTACCATCAAGTCTGAATCAACCCTGGCCCTCTAGAAGGTTTTCAGAGGAAGGAGATTACCCATCCTTCTCCCATAGCAACAATAACGAAGTTGATGCTTTAAAAGGGGTACATTTTATGATAAACTAATTAGATTTTAAAAATATATTTTACTACAAGGGGTATATTGATACACTCATTATTTTAAAACTCAGACTACATTACTTTTCAAAATCTTCAAATGTTAAGTAATTTTTTCTAAATTAGTCTTTCAGTAATTAAGTTAGAGAATTATGAGCATATTTTTTATGACTTCTTATAGGTAGACTATTTAAAAGTTAATTCACCATTCAACTACATTTTTAATAAAAATAGTAATTTTGTCACAGTGCTATTTAAGTTGGAAGAGAATTTAACCTTTCCTGCTACTACAGTGTTGCTATTATAAATTGGAACCAACTTACAGTGGACCCTTCAGAGTTTTCAGAGGCTGTAAGTCAAGTACGAGGAGATGGCGTGCATTTGCCCTATATAGATGCTAATGGATTTGATCCATGTCTTTTGTGGTTGACAGTGCAACTCCTTACCCCCTAAGCCACTAGATCACATACAGAAAATCACTGTATCTGATTTTCACATGTCACTCTGTAGAAAAGTCTGTATTCTGATATCTCAGTAATTGTAGCATTGTTTTTGCAGGAGAACCAATTCCACCTCGGACTTTAACTGAAGCCGGTACTATGGCTCTTTGCTATAGTGCTGCTTGGGATGCACGAGTTATCACTAGTGCTTGGTGGGTGTACCATCATCAGGTAATCTTGCTCTTAATTTAGTACGTGGTGCACTGTGTGCCAGTATTTGAGAGTATAGTAGTGAGTAAGGTAGAATAATATGCTATCTCTCTTGGTAGTGGTCACAAATGCAATAAGCAAGTGCTTTGAAGATGAAAAATAGAGTAAAGGCATAGTAGGAGATAAAGCTATATCTAAGTAAAGATGTTAAAGATAAATCCTGGGAAAGTAAAATTTTAGCAGATCAAGGGGACTTTTAGAACATGTCTGAATGTGTTCTGAGTATGAATGCTGGCTTACTAACCTAAAAGGGCTTTCTTTTTGCCTTTTTTGAGGTTTTTTGAATTCTCTTTGGCCCTCGCAGAAAAGTGGGTAGTATCCAGTGGTTTTTACTTTGTTCTGTGTTTCTGTTATATTTGTTAAGCATATACCATGGCACTTCACAGTTAACTATGGAGTCAGAGCCTAGTACCCTTGTAATGGCATAGTATCTCTTTAAAATTTGAGGATTCAGTGGTTTTTAAATTGATTTGATCTCAGTGATTGCCCTCCTTTGTAGTTAATACTATTTTATTGGAGTTTATATTTCTAATGACGTCATGCTTCTAAGAATTATAATTGATAAGAATGTAACAATACTTATATAAAGTCCTAAAAACTATGCTGAAGAATAAGGAGGGTTCAGTATCATCATCCTTCCTTAGATTCCATTTGATATGTATCCATATTCATTATCTGCTGTACTATAATAGTATGTTTTTAAGAAATTATTCTCACTCATATAATTTCTCTCTCAGTCCTATTAGAAGATTTATTTCTTCTATGAGTCTTGTTCTTTTTGTTGTCTTTATTTTTTTAATTCATACATTGTTGCACTTGAGTTTCTTATTCTTTTTTAAGATGAAATGTATTTATTTCATTATTATTTTTGTGTGTGTACTGTCAAATCAGATCTGACTGGTACAGGAGGAGATTGCCCCTCCTTCTTCAGCAGAGCAGCTGGTGGATTCGAACTGCATATTGAAATCTAATATGCTTTCGACGTCTCATTCTTGTTGTGTACTGTCCAGTCGGAAATGACCCGTGGCAGTTAATCACATGGGAGGGGATTGCTTCTCCCACAGAGCAAGTAGTGAATTCAAACCATGTGCCTTCAGGATTACAGCACAGCTTCTTATCACTGGAACACCAGAGCTCATGTTAGGACACTATTTATGACTATTATTATTATTATCACTTTTAGGACAACTATTTAGGACTAATAAAGATATCTGATCTGCGAGGTTCATAATCCATTTAAAAATTATAATCTTTCCCACTTTCTCTTTTGCTAAATAAAAATATTTTTGTAAACTCTGTTGTTAACTGTATTTCCTAAAATGAAAGGATAACATCTTAAAAGACATTTTGGAAAAGGATTTTACTTAATAAATAAATCTGTAAGTAAGTATAGCTTTACAATGACTTTTTCGACTATCCTTATTTTTCTCATTTGAATCTCACACTGGAAAAAAAACAACTCTAGTTGTACTCCATAAAACAAACCAAAACAGATGTACTGCCTTTGATTCCATAGTTGATTCCAAGCCATAGCAACCCTAAAGGACACAGTAGAACTGCTCCTTTGAGTTTTCAAGGCTGTAAATCTTTACAGAAGTAGACTACCTCATCTTTTCCCTTGTCGTGGCTGGTCGATTCTTACTGCAACCTTTCTTTTAGCAGCCCAGCATCTAACCTACTGTGCCTCTAGGGCTGAGTTCTAGACCATGGATTTTGAGAGTTATTCATGTGATGAGCCCATCACTTCTTTTGTTAACTGTCAAAGCTACATCCACCACTGAAGATTTCTGTCCTTTCCGTTCTAGAAGTGTGTGGTAAATTATGTCATTTTTTTCAAAACTTATTGCTTATTCAGTTTACTGTTTGGTGAAAAGACCAAGGCTTTCTCAGGACAAGGAGTTAATCAATTCATGTATTCCTCAGGTGTCCAAAACAGCACCAACTGGGGAATATCTGACGACTGGAAGCTTCATGATAAGAGGTAATGGAGTGACGTGAGAAAAATCCCCAAATTTTTCTATAGATTTGAAAAGAGACAGTTCTGAAAACCATCTACTAATATGTTAAAACGTTTTAACTCTGGCTATCTATACAAAGACTCTTAGTAAATATGGAAAGTTTTACCCTTTTGTGGTTGATTTAAGATTTGTTATATTATCTTCATATAGATGTATCAGAGACAGTGAGATTGGCTCACAGTAGGGCAGAGCTGTTGTTCAAGGATTGCTATGAGTCATAGTTAACTCGATGGCACATAACAGCACATACTATCTTTGTATATATTTTTACTCGTAAAAATATATTTTCACATAGCTTAAACTTCTAAGGGTAAGAAAGCATTGCTGTTTGCCATCAAGCCAATTCTAGGTCCTAGTAGCCCTTGAAAACAGAATTTCCTGATGGAGTTGCAGAGGTTGTAAATTCTTACAGAAGTAGACTACCACATGTTTCTTCTGCAGAGCGGCTAGTGAGATGGAACCACTGACCTTTCACTAGCCGCCAAGCACTAAACCTGCTGTACTCCCAGGCCTCGTAAGCAAGCATAACCTGACTTTCCCCCTAAAAAATAGATTATTCTCGGTTTAACCCCAAAAAATTAAAAAATATTCTGTTTCTTTTGTATCCATACACATACTGTTTCTTTTACTGTACATTTTGTGAGAAATACTCCTTCATGACAGAAAAAAGAACAAAATGAATGTGACTGTTGAGATCAGATTTTTTTTTAAGCAAAATATGGAGGAGGAAAAAATATATGGAGGAAACATTTACAAAACATTTACCTATTATTTTTATAGGAAAAAAGAATTTTCTCCCTCCTTCATATCTAATGATGGGATTTAGCTTCCTCTTTAAGGTACTCTTTAGCTTCTTGGTTCTTTTTTACTTCCAGTTTTCATTAGTCTTACATAAAGCTTCCTCAGAGAAAAAAAATTTCTTTCTATAGGTAGATGAGTCTTGTGTTTGGAGACACCGGGGTGAACGAAAAGTCAGAGTGCAGGATGAAGATATGGAGACACTGACAAGTTGCACAAGTGAACTTACATCAGAAGAAATGGAACAACTAGGTATTTCATGGATTTTAAGAAATTATTTTGCAGTGTTATCCAGTTTTGCATTAATATATTCACTTAGATCAAGTCTCCTTTGTAATTGAAATTTTTTAAAACAACAGTATCATGATTTACTAAGTTTTATATTTGGAAATATCAAATAAATTTATTCTAGTGAAATAGAAAGTATTTAATTGGGATTGTGACTGGTAAACTTTCAAACTAAACTTACTGCTGTCAAGTTGGAGCCGACTCTTAGCAAACCCTCAGGCAGGTTTTAGAGAATATAGATCTTACGGAAGATTGCTGGTCTTTTCTCTGACGGAACAACTGGTGAATTCAGGCTGGCTGCATTTAGGTTAGCAGTACAGCTCCCTACAGGCTATGCTACCAGAGCTCCACACTACACTTCTTAGTATGTTTATGTAATAAAGCTTCACTGCTTAATTAATAATACATGTTTATTTTAATGCAAGTAGACTCGAGTATGTGTAAATTAACATTGACTTTGGAGTTGGGTAATGCAAAGATAGAATAAAGGTCATTTTTCTTAAGATAATTTAATTTGACAATATATTTGCTTCAAATATAGAGCAAGCACAGTTACCTATCTACATAAAGAAATTAGAAAAATTAAGTCCTCTAAAATCTAGTTTTGCGGGGAGCTCTGGTGGCCTAGTGGCAAGAAGCTGCACTGCAATCCCAGAGGAGCACGGTTCGAATCCACCAGATGCTCTGCCGGGAAAGGAGGGACAATCACCTCCTGTACCAGTCAGATCCGATTTGACGGTACACGCATATAAACTAATAATAATAAAAAAAAAAAGAAAAAAAATCTAGTTTTGCAGTTATCCTCTCACCTAGAGGTGTTTCTTTTTAGAGTAATATGGCATTCATTTATGACTAGTATTGCAGAGTTGCATTTAATGTGCTTACCATATCTTGGCACTATATGATGTACTTTATTTGCATAATTTTTTTAAATTTTGATCCTCAGAATAGGTGATAACATCTCATTTTAGTGCTGATGCAACATAATTTTTAAGAAGTAAGTTGTTCTGCTCATCCAGGTGATTAGTGGTTAAGTACAGTTTCATATCTCTGTAGTTCAGAACTATACTTTTGGTACTGGAGAGTGTGTTGTGCTACATAGCATTTTACATTTGTAAAGATACTGGTACCTGTAGTATCATTTCAATTCTCATGTGCAAAGTATAACAAAAGTAGCGAATTTATTGAACTACTTCAACTTTTTGAAGGCCATTTACAGTTTCCATAAACACTTGCAATGTTTAAAAAACTTACTATACTAAAAGATGTTAGGGATTATTTTGTTCACCATATTAATGATACCAATTATTCTTTGTTCTAAGAATTTTGATGGTGATCTTTTGGGGTCAATAGCATGATTTTTGAAGCTTTCAGGGAAATCATCTAGTTTTGTCATGACAGTCCAACTCTGACTTTGCTTATGGTGGTTCTACAGATGAAGGTGACAGTAGTAGTAGTAGTGAAGAAGATAAAGAAGAATCCCATGAAACTGCTGTAGAAGTCCAACTCATGACTCAGGCTGACCAAGAGAATATTACTGTTCAGAGTGGTGGAGATAATCCCAATGAGGAACAGATTCAGGAGGAAAGTCTGGGAGCTGAAGATGAGTCTAAAGAAGTAGTGAAAGATAAAGAGCCAGTTGGTGAAACAAAGGATGAAGAAGAGGAGATACTAAATTATCCTGACACTACCATTGATTTGTCTCATCTTCAGTCTCAAAGGTAATTAAAAAATTCATACTGAGCATGAAGAATTAACCTAGCCAAGGATAATACCAGGATTGGCTGGGATACTTTTCCTTCTAGTTATCCTTTGGTCTTAATAGTTTCTTACCATTTGATTTAGAAAAGTAAATCTTCCGAAAGAAGTTTCTCTGGCTCAGGATAAGAAAATATAGTAAATATAAACTGGCCAGACTAGATCAGAGTAGAAACAAGCAAATGTTATGAATGCTAATGATAAAAGTTATTCTAGGAAAAAGCCAAGATATTTTCAGTTTTGGTGTCTGCTGATTACCAGGTTAAAAATATCATAGTTACAAAACTGTAATCATTGGAGTGGTTAAAAATCGCATAGGCATCAGACAGATAAGAATTAAGTTTTAGTCTATTGTCTGTTTCTTTGGGAAACTTATTCTACCACTTCATTTTTTTTCTCAGTTAAAATGAGGTAGTGACCCCTGCCTAGTGATAATTAAATGTGTATAAATTAGCTAGTAGTACCTTGTTCATGTTAAGTTTAGTGCCAGCTACTTAAGATTATGTCTATGTGTGCAAGTGCTTGTGTGTATACGCACACACACTCTTACTGATACCCGACCCTCCAGTAAGTTTTCAAAAATTATAAATCGCACAGGAGGAGTTTGACCATCTTTATCCCAAAGAGCACTGGATAGCTTTGAACCGGCTACTTTTGGGTTAACAATACAACTCTATCCCTAGGCTACTAGAGCAGTGTGTGTGTGTGTGTGTGTGTGTGTGTGCGCGCGCGCGCACGCGCACTTTGATACATGTTTATATAAGAAGTAAAAGAACAAATAAGTCTTCCTTGGAGGAGATGCAACAGGTGTATTTCTTGGAGGCATGGATGGTGAAAATTCATCTTATATATTGAGCATGTTATCAGGAAAGGTTAGTCCTTGTAAAAAGACATCTTACTGGAAGAAGTGGAGGGTCAGAAATCAAGAAGTGTCCCTCAAACCAAGATGAATTGACAGTTACTAAATGGGCTCGAGCATATCAGAGATGGTTAGGATGGCACAAGATAGGGCAAGGTTCAGATCTATTGTTCATAGGATTGACTCAAAGACACCTCACAACAGCAACATATATGAAAAGGAGTAATTTGATTTTACTTTTCTAATTTTTACCAAATAAGGAAATTTGTAGGATCGCCTATAATTAAGAGTATGATATGGGAATGTCTTGGGTCTTTATGACTGTCTTTTATATGACTAATGAAATCCAACTTGTTTTCATAGGTCACTCCAAAAATTGGCTTCAAAAGAAGATTCATCTAATTTGGTGAGTTATTAAAAATCATCATGTCCTTTTCAAGGAAGAGTAACTTTTGGTTTTCTAATATATTTGGGAGTTCTAGTGGCAAGGAGTTGCGCTGTAATCTAAAAGCAAGAGGTTCGAGTTCACCAGCTGCTGTGAAGGAGAAAGAGGAGCAGTCTCCTCCTAGTGATTTATAACCTCTGAAAAGCTGCTGGAGGGTCAGCTATGAGTCAGTATAACTCAGCAACAACACACAACACATAACAACAACAATTTTACTGAAAATTTTAACTAAAATGGAAAACTTTTACTTGAACAATGAATAGTAGTGATGTTGGTTGTTTTGTTTTTTTCTTTCAATTTTAATAGGGTGACAGTAAATTACAGAGCCGGAGACATCTGTCAGCCAAGGAAAGAAGGTAAACACATTTGAGTACCTAAAAATGAAAAAACATGTAATTTATTTACTTAGTGGCAGCCCACTGCAACCAATCCCGTGACTTTATTAAAATTATCAAGATTAAGGTTTTTTGTCATTGAACCCTGAAGGAACTCTCATGGTACAGTGTCTAAGAGTTAAGCTTCTAACTGAAAATTCAGTGGTTTGAATTCCCTACCTGCTTCTTGGAAGACAGATGAGCGATGTCCTCTAATAAAGTTTGGTAGCTCAGGTGACATAGCCTTTAGCAGGTTGCACTGCTAACCCAGGGACTTTGTATCTCCAGTGGTTCATGTCCACCAGCAGTTCCTCGGGAAAAGGATGAACAGGAAAAGCTCCTGCTGTTAGAATTCACCGCCTTGGAAATCTATTGGAGGTTCACTGTGAGTTAGAACCAGCCCACGCTTAGTAAATTTGAGGCAGGTGGGAGTTTCTTAAGTTTTGAGACCCTAATCTGTCATTTTGATCAGTGAGTTAGGTCTGGAAATGCAAATTAAATGTATATATAGTAATGATGTTAGTATTAAACAGACAAACTGGTTTTAGTCTAATATTGAAGAATGAATAGGATGCTTCCAATTAGGACGAAAAGACTTTTTTAAAATAGTAGGCCTCTAGAGGCAGGAAGACAGGGACCAAAGGAAAGGGACATCTGGTGTAACTCCTTTAGGACAGAAAAGACTCAAATTAATAAAGCCTTTCAAGAAGTGGCCATAGACTAGAATTGACAGTAAGACTTCTGTCTGAGAAGAATAATTATTAAATATTTAAAGAGAAATCTGAATGTGTGACACTATGATAGATACTGACCATACACAGAGGTAAAATAAAAGTCTTCAAGAAGCTTTAAAGTTCCATGTTTAGGAAGTGGCCAGAAACATGTCAGGCGTTTTGTCTGAAGGTGACACAGTAACTAAAGAATAAAGATTCTAGTGAATTGGTTTTTAAAATACTATAAAAAATACGATGAAGATTTATTCAGACTTTGATGAGTGAAGATGAGGAGAGACATTCCAAGAATTAGCATGCATACAATGAGGGTTGGAAGTAGTGTAAATAGTATTTTGGGAAATGAACAAACTAAAGTGAAAGGTGCTGAAAGTTCATGTTTATGAATTGGTTGATGATAAGATTGGAAAAGTAAATTTGGACAAAAATTGGAGAATTTTGATGATAAACTAAGGTCCCTGGACTTGTGTTTTGAAGAGAACCTTGGAAAATTTTGAATGGGAATATGAAAAAAAAGAAGAAGAAAGATGAATATAGAAGTGGATGTACAACAGTACTCCCTGGGTGTTGCAAACAATTAAACACTGGATTATGAAATGGAAGGTTGGCAGTTCGAACCCACTCAGGTGCCTCAGAAGAAGGACCTGGTAATCTGCTTCTAAAAGATCATGACTGGAAATCCTGTGGAATAGAGTGCTACTGCAACACATGTGGTTGTCATGAGGCTGAGTGACTTGATGACAACTGATTTTTGGTTTGCAGAACAGATTATAGGGATGGAGGAAATCAGGGTGGGAAGAACTTGGACTGGGTGAATGGCATTGAGGGTACAAAGAGATTACATATAAAAAGAAAAAATCAAGGAAGTGGTGAGATTTCTTTTCATCTCTATTTTTCATTCAGTTATTTATTCGTTCAGCAGATGTATTATTGAATGCCTATAATCTGAAAAACTACAAAAATACCTCAACCCACAGCCATAGAGTCAGTACCAACTCATAGTGATCCTTCATCAAGTTTCTGAGATGTCCTATGAAGGGTGCCCACACTGAAAGGAAACACTGTCTTTCTTCTGTGAAGCAGCTAGTTCTGGATTACAAGCACCAGAGATGACCCAGCCTTTTGGATAGCAGCACAGCACTCAATGAACTGTGGCAACAGAAACTCGGAATTCACACCGATTGTTATTAAAGTCAGAATCGACTCCTGGCTGACCCTCCAGTGAGTTCTCAGAGGCTGTAAATCTCATGTGAGAAGACTTCCATCTTTCGCCCTTGGAGCTGCTGATGCATGTGAACCACTAGAAAGGTGCTGCTTTGGGGTTAGCAGCACAGCACCCTACAGAATACACTACCAGGGTTCCTAATCACGTAAGACCTCATCAGTATAAAGAACACCAGCCCCACTCCTTAGCCATCAGAGTGTTTAGGGACTAAATGTAGCCAGAGAGTAAGGTAAACCAAGAGTGGCAGTGTACTTATCCGGGACCATAGAAAGAATGGCAAATCCATAAGAGCAGATTTCTTTTTAGCTTTTTCTAGTATAATGATGTAATAGTCATCAGGTTAAGGAGAAGATGTACTATAGTGTATATTTTACCTGTAATTTTTTTTTAAACTAAGAATTATAAATTCTAGAACTTATGTGTTTCTGTTTGTTTTCTTTTTTCTTTGTTTTGTTGGGGTTTTTTTTAGAGAAATGAAGAAGAAAAAACTTACCAATGATTTAGAAGAAACAGAGGGAAAAGACAAAGAAAAAGAAAGTGCTCCACACACTGAGACTCATCAGAATACAGGCAAAACTGCTCCAGTTGGGCAGCCAGTGAAGCGAGGACAAAAGGTAATATAATAGGATTTAATAAACTTTAGACTGAAGTGTTAAGTTGGTACAATACGGTTCACAGATGCAGCTGTGAGGTTCTTCCTTGGGTTTTTTTGGTGAGAAAAATTTCCATTTCTAATTAGCCAGATGGACTCAGTTTAGATTATCCCAGTTTTGTTTGCAACATCCAAAGCGTCTTAGTTAGGGGCAAGTCAAACATAAACCTTCTCTCCATCAGGCCTAGTCAGGATGTTGACCTTGGCCACATCAGTGTCACAGAGCTTTTTTACAGCTTGTTTGATTTGGTGCTTGTTGACTTGGACATCAACAATAAACACAAATATGGTGTTACCTTCTGTCTTCTTCATGGCTGACTCAGTGGTCAGGGGAAATTTGATATTGGCATAGTGGTCAAGCTAGTTTCTCCTGGGTGCGCTCTTCTAGGATTATTTGATCTTACATAAATATTTCAGGGGTTCCCCCCCCCCTTCTAGTACCCACTTATGTTCAAGCAAGGTGTTATTCAGCTTCCAAATGTATTCCTTTATCTTCTTGGTTTCTCACATCTTGATGAGGGTCACATAAAGAAAGTTTTGGTTTGTGTTAGTGATTTTTCCCCTCTACAAGCAGTGTCAGTGTCAGCTGGCTGGACTTTTTCCCAATTTTATAAAGAAGAACCCAAGAGCAGGGGGTCTACCTGATTAACCATATTGTTACAAATTTATTAGTGTTAGGATGAACATTCTTTAAGTGGTACAGCAGTCGTTTGTCTATTTGCTATACTGTATAATGGAGTTTTTGTGATGCTGGACACTGTGCCATAGTTGTGTCAAATACCGTAATGATTACCCATCTTGGACAATGTTTAGAGGAGCTTCCAAATTGATTCTGAATTGGAAGCAGGTGTGGCATCCACTTCCTAAAACAGATGCCTCTGGAAACCCTATAAATGGTAAAGAAATGCTGTTGCTAAGCACTGCTACGTGAGACTAGTGTTAAATTTTGGAGGAACATTCTTCTTCTTTATACATCACTTTTTGTCAATTTATTGTACTGAGGTTATCTGGGTTTGCTCTGATGCTGAACCTTGTGCAATTGGGGTATCAGATACCATAATGGTTTTCCAATGTGGACAGTTTGGTGGAGCTCGCGGTTGTAAAACAGGTTTGGAAGCAGGAATGTCATCCACTTCCTAAACCACATACATGCCTATGGAAATTACGAACTTGGAGAAACAATGATAGTTATAGAAAGGCATTAGGGTTTTTTGTTCATAGGGTGTCTATGAGTCATGCGTTACTTGATGGCAATCAACAACAACAATATCTTGTTATTAATTTCTGATTCTGTAGCAGCATTGTGGTCTGAGAAGACGCTTTGTATTATTTGTTTTTTTAACTGACTGATGCTTGCCTTGATCTACTCTGGAGAATGTTGCATGCACATTGGAGAAGAAGGTATACTGTGCTTTCTTGGGGTGCTTTAGCCTCTGTGTGTGTGTGTGTGTGTGTGTGTGTGTAAAATTGAGTTGGTTTATTGTGTGCTTTAATTCTTCAGCATCGTTGTTGAGTTTCTTTCTGGTAGTGTTATCTTTTCTTGAGTGGTGTGTTGAAGTCTCTCCACTACTATAGTGGTGTTGTTTATTTCTTTTTCAGTTCTGTTAGTGGTTGCTTTGTGTATTTTGCAGCTCTATCATTTGGTGAATAGATTATTTATTATGGTTATGTCTTCTTGTTCTGTTGACCCTTAAGCATATATAATGATCTTCCTTGTCCTTTATGATGGTTTTTGTGTTGAAATCTATTTTATCAGAGATTAAGATCGCTACTCCTACTTTTTTCTGGTTGCCATTTGCTTGGTATCTTTTTTCCCACTCTTTTATTTTTAGTATTTCTTTATTTTCACTTTTCAGGTGTGTCTCTTGGAGACAACATATTGATAGATTTTGGGTTTTTTATCCAATCTGCTACTCTTTTTCTTTTTAGTGGTGCATTTAAACCATTCATCAACAAATGAATAGATCGAGACGCTGTAATATATTCAGACAGTGGAGTATTATGCAGCACTGAAAGACAACTCATGAAATATTATACAAAAAGGGTGACCATGGAGGATATTATGCTGAGTGAAATATCTCGGTCACGAAAAAGACAAATACTGCATAATGCTACTGTTATAGAGTAGGACTAATATGGGGGGTGGAGGGAAACTAAGAAAAGAGGGGATAAATAATGTATACGGTATTGAAACAGATGAGGGAAAGAACTATATAAAAGAAATATATGATTAGATATTATTGGCATGACAAGAGTCCAGAAGAAGAGTTGCATAGTAGAGTGGTCCAGGGAGGTGGGCAGGGACTGTATAACAATGAAAGAACTTTTTTTCCAAAGAAAAAAGTGAACTGGGGGTTGGAGTTGGAGACAGAGAAGAAAATGTGCAACAATGAATGAATAGAAATGCAAGTTCTTTATAAACTTACAATAGAATCTCAGTGGTTTTTTAAATTTAATTTTATTAATTTTAATGAACATTTACAGAGATTTTGGATTTCCATTCATTCATTGTTGCATTTTTCTCCCTGCCCACCCCTCCTCCCCCCAGTTTGCTCTTCTCTTTGAAAAGTAAAAGAAAAATTCCTTTACTGGTATATAATTCCCCCCACCCCAAGTACACTCCACTATGCAACCTTCATTCTGGACTCTCGTGATAACCATAATACCCTATCATATATCGCTTTTCAACTGTTCTCTCCTTCATCTGTTTCATGTAGTATACATAATTTATCCAGTTTTTCTCAGTCTTACCCCAACCCTGATGTCAGTTCCATTCTACAACAGTGGGAGAATGCAGTATTTGTCTTTTTGTGACTGAGATATTTCACTCAGCATAATGTCCTCCAGGGTCACCCATTTTGAATAATATTGCATGAGTTCCTTGTTTTTCAATGTAGTGAAAACCTCAGTCAGTTTTAAAAAAAAGACAGGGAAGAAATTACCAAAATGAACTTCAGAAGAGACTCAGAAACTTGTACTAGAATAAAAAGAAGGCAAAACAAGTATAAGGAATGCTGAAGTAAGAGAACAGATTTCATAGACCAGCTCAAGAAGACAAATTATTATATATGAAATAGACAAACAGCTAGAGTTAGAAAACCAAAAGGGAAGAACCCACTTGACATTTCTCAAGCTGACAGACATGAAAAACTAATTCAAGCCTTGAGTTGGAATACTGAGATAGTCTGCAAGCAAAATGCTGAAGGGTTCAGGGAAGCATCAAAAGAAAATGGAGCTCTGGTGGTCTAGAGGCAAGAGGCTGTACTGCCATCTCGAAGGCGCGCCATTCAAATCCACCAGATGCTCCGCTGGAGCAGGGGCAGTCTCCTCCTTTGCCAGTCAGATCCAATTCGATGGTATACAACAAGGAAAAAAACCGAACCCTAAACAACAGGGAAAAAAAAAGGAAGATGGAAGGATCACACAGAGTCTCTGTACCAAAAATTTAACACTGAACCATTTCAGGAAGTAGTATTTGATCAAGAAACAGTGCTGAAGGAAGAAGTCCAAGCTCCCCTGAAGATGTTGGAAAAATAAGGCCCCAGGAATTAACAAATACCAATTGAGGTGTTTAGGAAACATGTAACCCTGGATGAGCTCACTAGCCTGTCAAGAAATATGGAAGACAGCTACCTGGCTGACTGGAGGAGATATTGATTCCTATTCCTAAAAAAGGTGATACAACAGAATATGGAAGTTATAGAACAGTATCATTAATATCACATGCAAGTAAAAGCTTGCTTAAGATTTTTTTAAAATGGCTGGGACAGTAAATACATTGGCATGGAAATGCCAGAAATTCCACCTGGATTCAGAAGACACTGTGTGGTACAAGGGATATTGCTGATGATGTCAGATGATGTTGGCTAACAGCTGAGAATATCAGAAGAAGGTTTATTTATGTTTTATTTCTTATGCAAAGTCATTTGACACTTTGAATCATAACAAATGATGGCTAACATTGAGAAGAATGGGAATCACAGAACACTACTTAATTATGCTCATGTGAGACCTCTTCATAGACCAGGAATGAGTTGTCCAACTAGTACAAAGAAACACTGCATGATTTAAAATCGGGGAAGGTATACATCAGGGTTGTAGCCTTTCTCCATACCTATTCACTCTTTGCTGAGCACATCATTTGAGAAGCTGTATTACTGTATGAAGAAGAATGTGGCATCAGGTTTGGAGGAAGACTCATCAAGAAATCTGCATTAGGCAAATGACACTATCTTGCTTGCAAAAAATGTGGCGTACTTGAACCCCTTGCTTTAGAAGATCAAAGACTTCAATATAGGTTACATCTATACATAGAGAAAACAAAAATTGTCAGCACAGAAGCAATAAGCAGCATCTGATAGATGCAGAAAATATTGCATTTTACTTGAATGCACAATCAACGCTCATAACAGTCAAGAAATCAAAAGGCATGTTTCATTGGGGATATTTTCTGTCAAAGACTTTTCCAGAGTTTTAAAGAGCAAATATGTTTAAGATTTCAGATGCACGTGAATCAAACTATGATCTTTTTAGTTGTTTCCTATTCATCTGGAACTTGGACAATCAATAAAGAATACTGAAGAAGAATCAATCCCTTTGAAGTATGGTGTTGGCAAAGAGTCCTACATGTCCAATAGACTGCCAAAAGAACAAACAAATCTGCCTTGAAGAAAGTATAATCAGATTACTTCTTAGAAGCAAGGATGGTAAAACTTTGTCTCACTTTGGTCAAATTTGCAGGGGAACCAATCGCTGTAGAGACATCATGCTGAGAAAGGCGGAGAGTCATTGAAAGAGGAAAAAGATCTTCAACAGATGGATTGACACAGTGGCTAGTACAGTGAGTTTGAGCATGACAGAGATTGTAGGACAGCACAGGGTAAGGCAGGGCTCAGTGTGTTGTCACAGGGTTACTGTGAATTGTAGTTAACAATACCTGACAACAACTCATTATTTGATGTTTCTGTTTCCTTCTTTTATCATTGTTTGACTTTAAAAAAAAATCTTTTTTTTACAAAAGTGGCATTTCTAGAATTATTGTCCCTGTTATTGTTGCTTTCTTTTATCTTAGTTGTAGAGTGTCTGAAGTGCTGTCCACCTTCTACACTGTCTTAACTGGACAATTCATCTTTCAGCAGTCATATTGTATGCAACTAATGGGTTTTGGTTTTTCTCTGTACATCCTGTGTCTTTACTTTTTCCATTGTTATTTCTTTTCTTGTACCAGTTTAGACATTAATACAGTGCTGCCTGGACTTTATAGTGGCAGTAATGTGCAAATTTGCTGTGTCTTAAGATTCTTTACTTGTTGGTAGGTACCCTTTATTATTTTTAATGTTGTTAGGTGCCGTTAAGTCAAATACAACTCATAGCAACCCTATGAACTGAACTTTATCCTGTCCTGTGCCATCTTCATCCCTTTCTGACATGCTTGAGCCCATTACTACGGTCTTCGGGTTTTTTTTTTTTGCTAACCCTTTATGTTTCCAAACATGTTGTTCCTCTCCAAGGAGTAGCCTGTCCTAGCAAATGTGTATGGTATATGAGACAAAGTGTTGTCATTTTTGCCTCCAAGGAGCATTCTGGCTGCACCTTCTCCAAGACATATCTGTTTGATGATCCATGGGATATTCAATACTCTCCTCCAATAACACAGCTCAAAGGCATCAGTTCTTCTTTTATCATTTTTGTTCATTTCCAGCCCTCAGCAGCATAGTAAGTAACTGAAAAGACCATGGCCTGAATTAGGTGCACCTTATTCTTTAAACTGACACCATTGCTCCTCAGTAATACAACAGATTTGGCTAATGCAGTATGTCTCCTCATCTCCTAATTGCTGGTACCAAGAGTTAATTATGGATCCAGGTAAGATGAAATAGTTGACAACGTCGGTCTTTTTTCCATCTGTCAGTGATGTTGCTTTTTGATCTAATGGTGAGAATTTTTGTCTTCTTCACATTGAGATGCAATTCGTATTAAAGGCAATAGCCTTTAATCTTCTGTAGCAAATATTTCAAAGCTTTTTCACATCCAGCAAACAAGGTTGTGTCATCTGCATAAGGCTGGTTTTGATGAGTTTTCCTCTGATTCTTATGTCACATTCTTCTTCCTAGAGTCAAGCTTCTTGACTGATTTGCTCAGAGTATTTATTGAATAGGTGCAGAGAGAAGATACAACCCCGACACAGACCGTTCCTCGTTTAAATCATGTGGTGTTTTCATTCTGTTCAGACAACAGCTTCTTGGTCTAGGTATAAGTTTCATATGAGCATTATTAAGTATTTTGTAATTTCCATTCTTTTCAGTGGTAACCATAACTTGTTATGATCTAAACACCCAAATGTCTTTGCATAGTCAATAATACATAGATAGACATTCTTCTGGTTTCTCCACTTTCAGCCAGGATCCATCTTACATCAGCAATGAGAGGTGCCACGGCCTCTTCTAAACCCAGCTTGAACTTTTGGCAGTTCTCTCTCAAATTTATTGTTCTAGCTGGTTTTGGATGATCTTTAGCACTATTTTGCCCAAGTAATATTAACGATACTATTCTATATCACCTTTCTTGGGAATGTGAACAAACATAGGTCTCTTCCAGTCATTCAGGCAAGTAGCTGTCCTCCAAATTTCTTATCATAAACTGGTGAGCACATCCAGGGCTGCATCTGTTAGGTGAAATATGTTGGAAGCACTGAAACAATTTTTGTAATAGTAATTTTTGCAGGATGTTTTTTCTTTATCTACTGCTGACTTTCTTTTCTCCTTTAACCTGTTAAACCTCACTTAAGTTTGATAACATTTGCTTATAAAATGAGGCTTAATGTTTTGGGGTTTTTAGGGTAGACTTTCCAAGTTACAATTCATTGTATATCATTAGTGATCACAAAGTTTTCATGTTACATTTTTCAAGAACATTTGTTCTTTTCTCTTTTTATATTTCTTGGTAATACTCATTTGTTTTCTTCTAAGTAGTTTTCTCTCTTCCCCCCCCCCCAGGTTTAATTTACTTGTAGTAAAATGCACAGATCTTTGTGTTTTAGATCAGTGATTTTGCACACACACTCCTATCTGTGAACTAACACCTAGAACAAGATAATGGAATGCTTCAAGCACCCTGGAAGGCTAATTTTCGAAAGGCTGACCCTAATTCCCAAATAATATACCCACCAAAAATAATCCTATATCTGATGTATTTCATTCAGTATTGTGTCTGAGTTATTCATGTTACAGGTAACAGTGGTTCGTTTGCATTGTATTGTATTTTTACTCCACCTTCCTTTTATTTTACAATTAATGGACATTTTTATGCATGCCTTTGAGGCCTACAGGTATGCATTTCTCCTCAGAACTGCTGAATCATTCATGGCAAACATGTTACATACTTTTTCATAGCTATTGCAACTGCCAGATGTTTTCCAAAGTATTTGTATGGATTTACCATAAAACAATATTTGAGATCTTCAGTTGTTCTGCATTCACACCTACACATAGTAGTATTATAGTTCCTTTTACATTTTGTTTTTTAAAAGCCAGATAAGTATGCATATATAGTACTTCATTTTACCTTTGCATTGCCCCAATAGTGAAAAATGCTGTTGAGCACTTTCCATATGCTGCAATATTTTATCCTTCCTTCTCTGTGCATCTTTTCTTTACTATAGATAGTAAAGTCCTTGAGAAAGAAAGACTACGATTTGTTGGCTTCTTTAGTAATACTGATATTTATAATAATGGTACCTTACCTTACTCCTTATGCATTTTTGACAATTATTTAAAATCTCTTTTCCTTGCATATTTGTTGACATACTTTACTCGTTTTGGTTTTTCTTGAAGAGTAAAATGAAAAAAATGAAGGAAAAATATAAAGACCAGGATGAAGAAGACCGTGAACTTATCATGAAATTGCTGGGTGTAAGTAATATTTAAAACATTTTCTTGTTTGGATTTTCAGTAGGCCTATTGCCCAACATATGCTATGTATTCAGTAATACTTTTTAAGTATTAACAATATTCATTTTCTATATATGAATTAAAGTCTGCAGGTTCAAACAAAGATGAAAAAGGGAAGAAGGGAAAGAAAGGAAAAACAAAAGATGAACCTGTAAAGAAGCAGCCCCAGAAACCCAGAGGTGGGCCAAGGAGTACCGAATTCATTAAGAAAGAAACGCCCTCTGTGGAGGTTCTAACTCCCGAGCTAAAAGACTTGACGGTTGATGACCTACATGATGACAAGGTAAGACTGCCCCATGTGTGTGAAATGAATTGGTAACCCTTTCATTGTTGGAAAATCACTTGAGAACTACAGCCTTTAACAAAACTAAAGTAGTAGTGCCTGTGCATAAAAATTATACTGTTGATAGCTGACAAAAGTTTTATCATAAACTTTTAGAAGATACAATTGCATCTTGAACAGTTGGAGTAACAATCTCTTATACCCTGAGAATCCTGCATATGAGTCAGAAGGTTTCAGTTGTAAAAGGAATGGATGCAATTTGGGGATGGCCAAGTCTCACTTCTGTCTGCTTCATAAAGGGGATGTTCCCAATCAATAATATCCATAGCATATAAAAAAAATATATATAATATCCATAGCAGCAAACAGAGAGCTGCTGGGTAACACACACCACTCCTGTGCTCCTGCACTTATTTCCACCAATCAGTCGATTCAGTATTCATTGTGGACTCACAGACTTTACTCACAGGTGTGATACCAAGAGTGGGGTTTATTAGGGAAATAGGTTAGGGAGTGGGAGAGACAAAGAATATCCCATAAGTCCACGTGTAGTCTAGCAGCCCCAAACCAGATTAACAATAGACAATTCCTTAATTAGTAAAAGTCCTAGTTTCAGTTTAGCAGCACTCATTCAGGTAGCCTCTGGTTTCATCAAAAACCCAGCAAGGTTTGCCTGAGAGCAGTTATAAATTAGCTTCTCCTTCAAGCATCTGGCAAACAAAACCTTTATCTGTGACCAGCACAGATGCAAGAAATCTAAGATTACACCTTGCCAGAGTCTCTCCAGAGCAATGCCACAGTTTCTCTACTACCATCACCAGGGTCTCATCATATTGTACTGGTTGCTCCCGTTTCCTTCAAGTCTTGCTGCCCTGTGTGGGAAACTCTCTCTCTTATCCTATTTCTACAGCTGTTAATGATTTGCAGGACCATGTGTCTAGAGTTAAGATAGCTGGAAATCAGAGTGGGCTAAGATAATGCTTAGAAAAGCCAACTTTTAAGCTACCACCATACCTGTGCTTTATAGTCTTTAGTAATACTCTTTATGTTGTTGTTGTTATTGTTATGTGCCACCAAGTCAGCTACAACTCATAGCAAGCCTATGAACAATAGCTTTGAACCCTGCCCTATCTTGAGCCCATCTCACTGACTCTGACACACACCTACCTCCATTGCCACATTTATGGTACCAATCCATCTAATCCAGTGTCTGCATCCACACCAACAGATTCTCTTGAATGACACTGGTTTCTAAGAAATTTAAAACACACACACAGATTAATCTTCTTAAGGGACTTGGAACTCTGAAGAATATAATCTTTGGGTCCCTGACCTGGGAACTTGTGTGAAATCTTGTTACACTACTATTTTTATTCTTTTGACCTAAGTTATAGAGTTTACACTACAACTGACTTTTGTTTTTTTGCACAGGAAGAGCAAGATATGGATCAACTGGGAAATGAGGTAAGATTTTTCAATTTAAGTTTCACCTGCAACATTTCTCATTGCATCCAGTTCCCAGAATATTTGACACATATCTTCTAATGAAATTTAACTTGAAAGGCTAAGACTTCAGTCAAGTTCTGCAGCCAACCTTTCTAACTTTGAATCTTAGCTTCATTGTGTATACGTGTAACACAGATTTTTTTCCTTTTGCCTGTTTCCTCATGTAAAGAATGGAGATGATCAGACATACCTTGGGCATGTTGTTAGGAGGGGCCAGTCCTTGGCAAAGGACATCAGGCTTGAAAAGGTGGAGAGTTAGTGAAAGTGAGGAAGACCCTCAAAGCGATGAGTTCATACAGTGGCAGTAATTATAGGCTCAAGTATGTCAGAGGTAATGAGGTGGCACAGGATCAAGCAAGGTGCATAGGGTTGCTCTGAGTCGTAGTTGACCCAACCACACATAACCACCAACTAGGAGAACATTCTTTTTTTTTCTTAAAGTATTCTTTATTAAGAGCATTAAAAGTTATAGAAACAACTGAGAGCATTTTTTCAAGAACTAATAAACGGAAAAGCACTGAGAGCAATTTCAGGCCCATGGTAGTAAATATGCAGTTATTATGCTTCCTGGTTTAATAAACATTTTGGTCTAAATCTACTCTTAAGTGATTAGACAGTTATGGTCTTTATTTTTCTTTGAAATGTGAATGGAAGTTTACAAAGTAAATTGGTGTTACATTCAGCTTCCATAAATACAGATTTTTACATCAATTACAGTCATCACATGGTAATAGCATTCTTCTCATTACCTCTGTATGGTTCTTGTTTCCATTCTTCTATACTCTCTCTCCCTGAATTCTGAATTTTATACCTGGGCAGATGCTAGCTCTTAATCTTGTGATTGAGTATTGAGTACTTCCCTGCTGTTGTTATTCATCTTCCAGATCTATTGTTTAAAGTTATACCACAGACTGAGTTCAGTTCCTGGCTCAAAGGGTATCGAAGAGCCATAGTTTCAGTAAGTCTGGCCATTTTTATGTTTTTGTGTTTCATCTCCCGCTATATGCGTAATCCTCTGTTGTGTTCTCTTTCAAAGCAGTCAGCATTGGTAGTTCAAAGACATCCATCTAGTTCTTCTGGACTCAGAGTTGTGGAAGTTGAGGTTCATGATGATGAGGTCCATCAGTGTTAGGGACTGTTTCCATGAAATTTTTCTTCATTCTTCTCTGCTGCAGAGGAAAGACCATTAATTTCATCTTAGATGGCCCCTGCTGGCTTTCAAGACCTCAGTTGGTATTCACTGATGTAGGGTGTAGAACATTGTCTTTTAGTCCAGACTATGATCCTCAAGACCTAGGGCCAGCAACTCATTATCTCATGGTGTTTGATTATGGTAAAAATATATACCTAACTTTATCTCATTGGTTCTATTATATATAAAGATTTGCAGCTCATGCAAATATGGATGTAGAAATAAGATCAAAGTTTTTCTTCTTCCCACTCATCCACTTGTAATGTTTGCTATTACTGATAAAGCCCAGTTGTGTTTTAATGGCCTGTAATAGTCTATAACTTGTTTACTTCCCTTTGTCTTTTATTTAGTGATATTATGCTAATCCACAGTCAAACGCCTTTGCATAATCAATGAAATACATTCCTCTGGTACGCCTGCTTTCAGCCAAATCCATCTAACATTAGCTACAATATCCCTAGTACCACAACCCCTTCTAAATCCAGCCTGCACTTCTGGCAGTTCTCTGTTGATGTGCTGTTGCAGTCATTTTTGGATCTTCAGCAGAATCTTGCTTGCATGTGAGATCAATGATATTGTTCTATAATTTCCACACTGTTGGATCTCCTTTCTTTGGAATGGGAACAAATAAGAGATCTCTTCCAGTCAGTTGATCAAGTGGTTGTCCTCCAGATTTCTTGACACAACTTGTTGAGCACATCAAGGGCAGCATCTATTAGTTGAAATACATCAATTAGTATACCATCAATTCCTGGGGCCTTAATTTTTTACAATTCCTTCAAAGCAGCATGAACTTCTTCACCATAAGCTCTTGCTCATATGTTGTTTCATGAAATTCTTCTGTGTCTGCCAATTCCTTTCAGTACAATGACTTTATATACTCTTTCCATCTTCTTTTAATACTTTCTGGATCATTTAATATTATGCCTAGAGCATCCTTAAGTAAAATAACTCAAGGTTTGAATTTGTTCTTCAGTTCTACCTATATGCAGAACAGATTATCCAGGAGGCTGGGCTGTATGAGGAGAAGTGTGGCATCAGGGTTGGAATAAGATTCATCAACAATCTGCGTTATGCAGATGATACAAGCCTGCTTGCTGAAACCAAAGAAGACCCAAAGCGCTTGCTGCAGAAGGTCAAGGGCTGCAGCCTTCAATATGGATTGAGGCTCAATATCAAGAAAACAAAGATTCTCACCACTGGACCAACTGGCCACATCAGGATGGATGGTGAAGGGATTGAGATTGTTAATGACTTTAGTTTACTTGGCTCTTACAGTTAACATTCTTGGCACCAGCAGCCAGGAAATTAAAAGATGCATTGCAGTGGGAAAGTCTGCTGTTAGCCACCTCTCCAGAGTACTGAAGAACAGTGGTCACTCTGAAGACTAAGGTGCATCTGATACAGGCCATGGCCTTTGCAGTCGTCCAGAGAGCTGGACAATGACTGGGGAGGGTAGGAGGAGAATGGATGCCGTTGAGCTGTGGTGTCAAGAGTATTGAATCTACCATGGACTGCTAAGAAAATGAACAGGTTCATCCTAGAGAGGGTTAAACCAGGCTGCCCCTTGGAGGCAAGGATTCTGAAGCTTTTGTCTGACATAATTTGGTTATGTTGCAAAGAGGGATCAGTCCTTGGAAAAAGACATCATGCTTGGGAAGGTGGAGGGACAGCTCAGGAGAGGAAGATCCTCTGTGAGGTGTACTGATTCAGTGACTAGTGTAATCAGGGTGGGTATTTCAGACAGTGAGGTTGGCACATGATAGAGCAGGGTTTAGGGTTGTTGTACATAGGGTCACTGTGAGTCGCAGGTGATTCAACAGCACATTCCACCACAACCACCTATGCTAATAGCCTCTTTCCTCTCACTCAACTTCATGTGTCCATTATTTAATTACTGGGTTTTTTTTCCTCTCCCCTGCTTTGTAGTCATCAAAGAATATTTCTTTTGTATATAAACTTTTCCTTTATATTACTGGACTTGTACAGTACTTGTCCTTTTGCACTTAACATTTCACTCACCATGATTTCCTCCAGGCTCATGCAAATTATAGTGTTTTGCAAAGTCTTCATTATTCTTTAATGTTGCATGGTATGCCTTTGTGTGTTATTTCCACCTCTTTGCAATTTTATGTATGTTACAGTAAACATGGTTGTGCATGTATCTGTTCTTATCAAACATGGGCAATCTTGGAGGCAGCCCACCAACCAGAAGCACGTTATACTTCTAGGTTTCACCCTAAGATTAGCAAGAGAAAAAAACTGCTGTAGCTTAAGGTTTTTCAATTTTAACGGTATTGATATTCTGAGGACAGAAAATTCTCTGTTGTGGAGATTATTCAATACATTGTAGAATCTTTTGCCTCTACCAATGTGTAGAATTATTTTAAGTCCCAGGTTTGTTTTAAAAAAATTTTTCATTTTTATTATTTGTGTGTGTACCGTCAAATCAGATCTGACTGGTACAGATTATCCCTCCTTCCCCAGCAGAGCATCTGAAGTCCAGTTTTGACAACGAAAAATGTTTCCATACTTTCCCAAGTATCTCAGAAGGAAAAATCCCCCTTTGTTGAGAACCACTGGTGTAGCCAAAATATCAGTCCTATTTCCATCCAAGTGACTTAAATTTACTTACGTTCATTATTGTGAACTTCGGTCTAATGGCTTTCTACACCTCACATAGGATTTTAAATATCATTGTTTTTATTAGTTGTATTATGCAAAAATTATAAATAGAAAAATATATTTAAACATCTTTAATATTCAATTCTTTGGAAATACAGTGCTAAACTGTTCTTACACTGTATGTCCATCAGAAGAGGATAAATACATGTTGACTGTTAAGAGGTTTCCATTATGTGAATTGGTATTCACGGTTTTTATTTTCTTTTAGGAAAATCTATTTGATTCTTTGACAGGGCAGCCACATCCTGAAGATATTCTCCTGTTTGCTATTCCAATATGTGCCCCTTACACTACCATGGCAAACTATAAGTAAGTCACTTATAACTGACATCAGTAATGACTTACGAATTGTTTTATAACATCTTATTAACACATGTTGTTCATTTTTAAAGATATAAAGTGAAACTTACTCCTGGTGTTCAGAAAAAAGGAAAAGGTAAATTTCTTTTGTATTATGATTCTGATTTTAAACAGTTGAGTGGATGAGGAGAAATAGATTTCATATTTGTATTTGCAGCTGCAAAAACAGCCTTGAATAGTTTCATGCATTCCAAAGAAGCAACAGCAAGAGAAAAAGATTTATTCCGCAGTGTAAAGGTAAAGTTTCCTAATCCTAGCTCTTCCTTCATGTAGTAGTAAATGCATGCTGAGCATTATGTAAATGGTTTCTTATGACAGAGTATATGTAATTATAAAAGTAACATGTTATTTGTTAAAGAAAACTATACATGACTATATACAATGTAAAGATAGGATAACCAGTATTTTTCTTTTTTTAGGACACAGATTTATCAAGAAATATTCCTGGCAAAGTGAAAGTATCTGCACCCAATCTTCTGAATGTAAAAAAGAAATAGCAGAAATGAAATAATAAAATATTTTGAGAAGAACTAATTTTATAGCCATTTGGAAGTTAAAAGATGAAAATGCCATGTATATAACAAGACTTCTGAATTTAAATGAACTAAAGAATGCCATGGTCTACTCGCCAAAAGAACTTAATTGTTTTTCCAGTTTTATATAGAGGAAATGCTTATCTGCGGTTGGCTTTCTGAAAGTACTTGTGGACAGATAAATACCGTAATTGTATACAAAGTACTTATTCTACATTTACTTGAAATTTGGGACATTAATACTAAGTTCATTTCATGTAAAGAAATGAGTGAAGTCAGTCAGTTGCTTCACTTGATACTCTGTATATAAAGTTAATATATTCTGCAGAGGATAAAGTACATTTGTTTGGTTTTGGGTTTTTGGAGGTGGTAAAAAAAGAGGCAGCTAAACATTTTACAATTAGTCATGAAAACCCTGAGTATTGAAGGAGTAGACTTCCTTCATCTATATTTGTCAAACTATATTAAACCATGCTCTTAAGTACAAAAACAAAAAAGAAATAACACATAAAAGCAATCTGTTAATCATTTCCATTCACTTATATATCTTCATTTTTTCCAGTTTCATTGTGTGTTGTACCATTTTCATCTCCTATATATTATCAATGAACATAATACAGGGTTAGCTTAGTATGTGATATCAGACTCACACTTTATGCTTCTGGCCCAGTGTTCTGTCTTCTAACTAAACTCATAGAGAAGAGTCTCATTCTTTTCTGAGTTACAATACTTTTAACTGATTGAGTCACAGCTCTTGTTGGTCACACCGTAACTTCTTTTATCAGCTTGGTTTATTGGGAATATTTTTTCAGTTTAACTTCAGTACCTTCATAATAGTAAGAGTATTTGTTTCTACGGGTATATGTCCTAAAGTTACCAAAAAAGGAAAAATATTCTTTGTAATAAAAAGCCCCACCTTTAAATTTCTTTTGCTTTAATAGAGGAGGATAGTTGCTGGTGTTAAATACATTTATTTATTGCAAACATTTCAGAAAAATAGATTCTCTAGGCCATTCACATGCACATTAAAATAAAATAGCTCCAACCTACAACCATGGATATACAAATTATGCCACACTGTGGTTTTTAAAGAATTGCTGTCCATGCAAGGTGACCAGAGGCATTTTCTGTGAGTTGTTAGGATCCAGAAGTATTGTTACTATCACCAAACCTCTGATTAAGACTGTGTAGTAAGTGTTTTGGAAGGCAATTCCATGCATTAGCTAACAGTTCTTTAAAACAGGTAACTGCTTCTAAGCTTAGCCTGCAAATGGATAGGAAAAAAGAATTAGAAATTATGAGTACATTCTATTTTCATTAGAAGTACATTCACTTAAACTAACCACATCCAGAAATAAAAAAACAAACACCAACTTTAAGATTTTTTTTTTTTTAGGAATTAGTTAATAAAAACCTCATTGCCTTAAATGATCCATAAACCTGATTTTTCCAAAGTGCTAATTTAAAATGGTAAGAGACACAATTTAAATACCAAATAAAGGTTACTTACCTTACAAGAGATTTTGGTTGAACTGAAAATATAAGTATTTCATTACTGTGTGCCTGAAAGATAGATTTGAACACATAATAAAGTGAGTGCTTCCCAAATATGCGTAATATTACAAAGTCACTGTCCTTTAACATTGGCTACTATACTTACAGCTCTGTGATGGACAAGTAGGTTGTTTGCACACCCACCAAACACAATTACTTCTCCTTCATCACTGGCACAAGCTGTATGCCATAATCTACATTTAAAACAAAACCTTAAGTTTAAAGAAGGTCACTAGAAAAAAAAAATCCAAATTGTTACCAGCTCTGTCCTATTTTAGAACAAGATATTTTCGATAGTTCAGACTGAAAAAGCTACACACACACACAAATGTTTATCTCTACAGTCTAATCCTGAGGGGACTGAATAGAATTACTTGTTAGAATCTTACGGGAGACTGAGTAACGCCTACCCTCTGCTCAGGACCTTTTCCAAAGCTGCCTTACGTAGAACATCTGAGAGATCCTCAAATTCCAGCCATTCTACGGAAAGAACATCTGTGTCATGACTATTATAGTCATGACTGGACTTAGAGGTTTGGGGGGAAAAAATCAGGATTACGTATATAAATGTGCTTTGAACAAATTTTACTGTATCTTCTGGCACTCTTTGTATCAATTATATTTAATCAAAACAAAAATCCCCATCTGTGTAGGAACAATATTAAAAGAGATACTTCTTTCTGGATGATTGCAGTTCTAAATAAATTTTATAATACAGCTCAATGAAAATCTAACAAAGTCTTTGATTTCCTTGTCCTATGTACACTCATTATGCTTTTCAAATTCTTTTTAGTTCTGTTTTTTGAAAAACAAATCTGGATGTAGTTCAGCTCAGAGAGCTTGATTCTAAGTTGCAGGTATCTAATTTATGGCAAAAAAACCACAAAAATCCCCTTTCAGCCTTTTTTTTAGTCACTTTTAATGGAAAAGAAAGCATTTGGTAATTAGAACATTAATTTTCTTTGAAAAAAAAACATGAAAAGCCCAAACCCTAATTTAAGTGCTAAGATCCTTAAGATAAAAATAGATTTAATGTAGCCAAAACTTCACCAATTCTTACCAGTTTTGCACATGTAAGGATCTTACTAATTTAGTGTGGGGGTGGTATTATTGTTACCATGAAGTTGGAAACAACCCATTGCTGACCCTCTAGTGAATTTCCAGAGGCAGTTAATTGCACCAGAAGAGATGCCCATCTTTCTCCCACTGAGCAGCTGGTGGCCTTGAACCATGTGCCTTTAGGACTGCAGTGCAGCTGCTTGCCACTAGGCCACCAGAGCTCCCTTTAGTTTAAGAATTCCTTTTAAACAGTTCATCATACCTTGGTTTTTCTGTATAGGGATGATTAAACTGTATCCATTCATTTTTACTGATACTGTAAGTCCAGGCATCACCTGATAAAGCAAAAAGGGGGAGGAGAGCTCTGAAGCACATTTTTCTGTCAAGGTGACATTGATACATAAAGCGGACAGGTTTAGCAGGAACTATTTATGAATCAGAAGGTTATTTTGTGGGAGGGAGCAATTAACTAAGTAAGCCTGTTACATGTTATAGCTCCTCAGAAGGTGTTTTAAGTGTTTGAGGTTATTTCTTTACCAAAAAGAATGGATGCCTGTGTCATAGTATGGAAACAACTATAAATTGTTTATAGAATCAAAATTAATAGCAAGCCTTTTAACAAGCTCTGTGACCCTCTACTGTTTGTTATGAACCACTGAGCTGGAACCAACTCCTAGCTGACGCCCTAGCTGGTTTTCAGAGGCAGTAAAGGGCACAGTAAATGTACTGTACATCTTTCTCCCAGCAGTAGGTGAATTTTAAGTATGTGCCTTTGGGTTGGCAGCACAACGCCTTACCACTAAGTCACCTGAGTACCCCAGTAACCTCTGTGTTGTTATGTGCCATCGAGTCGCTTGCGACTTGAAGCGACCCTATGTACCTCTAGTACATCTAAAATACTTTCTGTATGTATCTATGCATTACGATTTCATTATACATTTAAAGACTTACTAAGTGGCTGTCTTTCAGTAGTGAATCCTCCAAAGAGAAAAAGGTGATCTGAAGAAACTGGTGTGAGTGAATGCCAGGATCGGCCAACTGGGACTCTGCCTTGTACAATTCTGAAAATAACAGCCAAGTTTCAATACCTATGTTTAAAAACAGCCATTGTATTTAATGCAGGGAAATACGTTTTCTCTTTAAATTTATAAAAAATTGTTGTGACAAGACTTTGTAAAAGGATTCTTAGTACTAGCATACATGGAACTATTTTTTTTAAGACAGAGTCAACTTTAGATTTCATCAATAAACATAAGCATATGCTATATATATGTGCAAGGCACAAAGTTATAGGAATCGGAAATATAAAATCTTGTTAAGGATCTAATAATGTTTCTTTAAATATATAAATATTTACAGGAAATTTAAGGACGTATACATATAGGTATGTAGGTGTGTACATAGAGAAATACACAGATACATACACACACATTAAGAATGAAGGGGGTAACTCAATTTAAAAAACATTTCTAAAATAAATCAAAAGTGATACTTACAATTCATTCCACTCCCATGTATCCAGATTAAGATAGTGAAGATCATTCATTCTAGCCTCCTATAAAAGTTTACTTAAAGTTAGTATTTTGAGTATTTCACAATCAGATCATGAATTTGTTTCTGTACTTACTCTGTATCTGCCTCCAAACACAAACCCTTTATTTCCAACAGTTGCACAGGCATGGGCAGCACGAGGTAAAGGTGCTCTACCCTATTAAAAAGCCATAACAAGCATGTAAGTGACCTTATTATAAATAGAAAAATATCAGGAAAAAATGGTCTCTGAATGTGCCATAAGTACGTATGAAGACAACTTGATCTGTTAAGACTGCCAAGCAGCAAAGGCTAGCACATTATATCTGTCACGAAAGGAAGAAATAAAAGTATTTTTGTAACAGAAGTTCCAGTCTAGTGCCAAGCCATTTCTTTAATTACAGACACTAGCAACTACCATTTAAAATCTAGATAATCAATGTTGCATTAGTATGTTTACAAATACATTAAATTTAATTTTCAAACAAGTCCAGAATGCAAAGATGAATCCTATGCTGCTTCTCTATCCAGAAAGTAAGAATGAACTATCAATTGCAATTTCATCGCTTCAACGATGGTAATCAAACCTATTGTCATGGAGTCATTGCCACTCATGACAATTTCCCATGTTTATGACAGAAATATGCTCTTTAGGGTTTTCTACAGCTGATTTTTGGAAATAAAGCATGAAGCCTTTCTGTGAAAGCAACTCTGGGGGGATTCAAACCACCAGCCTTTAGTTAGCCCATTAACTGTCTGCATCATCCAGAGACCCCAATTCTGTATTCCCTGCCCCCTTTTTCTCTTAGCAGCTTTGCCTTATTAACTAATTATTCTTCAGGAACTCACAGTAGTTAAAGGTTGGCCCCAGGTAAATGTTTCAGTATCTAAAATATGTACATGATCATTCCATCCTCTTGGATGACTTGAATTCTAGGAAAAATAAGTGGGAATATCAGAGTTATTTACAAATAATGTTTGTAAAACTGTCCATACCTCCCCGATTTACAAGGCAAACTGAATAAGAACCTTTGCAGAATTGCATGCTACACAGACCTTATGTAAATATGAATCTGTACTTACCCAAAAAGATGTTTCATCAAATTCAAAAGTTCCCAGTGCTTTATCTTCAGGTAAATACCCATACCCTCCAAAATATATTAACCTGTTTGATCAAAATGGAAGGCACTGTAAAAATTCAAACAAAAGATTTCCTTTCTTTTCATATACAATAAATCACCCAAGTAAATATTCAAATAATAGTGACTAATATTTTTGAGGGAACACTGGTAGCCCACTGGCAAGATGCTGTGCTGCAATCCCAAAGTCACACGGTTCAAATTTTATCAGCTGCTCTGTGGTAGACGGATAGGCAATCTCTCCGCCCTTGCAATTAATTGCCTCTAAAAACCCTCCAGATGGTCAGCTACGGGTCACTTCCAACTTAATAGTACACAACATTATTTTTGAGCACTTAACTATGTCTTTGGTGCTATGTATTCATTTAATACTTATAGCAAGCAGCCCTATCTACAAGATAGATTCTGTGGTTAGAATTGTCATTGACCAAAAAACCACTCTCCACATATAATCCCTGTGGTGCTGTTAACTCACTTGTTTTTATATACCCAGACACCAAGTTTGTCCTTGGAGGATGGAGGAATTCCTTGGCAGTCAATTCTTTCCCACCGTAGCACTCGGTCTGTAGATCTTAAATCCAGCATGTAGAACTGTCAGAAGCAATACTTTGAGTTAGGTTTGGTTATGGGTAAAGCAACTTTGGCAAGAACCATCTTGTGACTTATGAGGCAATTTAATGCTACCAAAGTGTGGACTGCAGACTGGCTGTCAGTTTCTAAACTGATACTAGCCTGCGTTTAGATAAGGAACTTGTTCCAGAATATAAATTTACTAAGTTCCAGAATATAAATTTACTAAGTTAGTGAGCACAATGTACGTAGTTCAGTGAATTTTTTCCCCATAGCAAAATTGTTTTTTGATGATGGAAACAGCTGTATATTGAAATATTCTGGGGCAAACTTTTCATTTCTTAGGTACTCTTAGGATAGCAGTACAAAAAAAGAACTGTATTTAGCAATTTAACCTTCAAATTAAATTTAACAAACATGTTAAAAAGCTACTTAATTCAAGAATAAAGGAAAAAGTATTTAAAAGATTAAGTATTGGTATCCTTCAAAGAAGTTACACCATGATGATTAATCTTTATACTTAAGACATTCAATCTTTGTTCAGCCAAGCCACCCAATCTTCATTCAGCCAAACTTAAAACAACTCACACTGGCCACTTCACATACTGTTTCATCTCTGACCACCCTGTAAGATGACAATTTTTCTCCTTCCCAAGATTGCTCACACTGAGTCAAGGTTTATTCTTTTGAAAAAATACATGGCAACAGTAATGCCTCACAAAATCTGGGGCACAAAACCCTATCTTTAAAAGAAAACAAAACTAAGTAAAAACAAATAACAAAACAAAGGTCGAGCTATGGTTGTTGAAGGACAGAGGAAGAACGGTAGATAGGAGCCCACCTAACACAATTTGTTCCTCCCACAAGTGTCCTGGTGCAGTGTACCTTGGAGCAACTCCTACACTGTCTGCAGACCATCTGAGACATACGTTCCTTTTACACCGTACCATTTTGAGTTTGCATGTAGAAAGTATATTTTCTATACCTCTGTATCTTAATACCTGTATCTTGGCTTTATCTTCCAATTTTATGATTCAATTCAAGCATTACCTTCTAGATGAAGCCTTTCCCTCTTGACTACTCCTAAATCTTACCTCATACAATTTTAAGGATTCATTTCCAAATTCAACAGAATTTACCAAGTTACTGTTAGGACTCAGACTCTACCTGTCTCTCCTATGCTACTGCAGTTGTTCATTTGTGTCCCTTAGAGAATGTGAGCTTCTGGAGATATTAACAGCATTATTCATCTCTGTATATCCAATATCCAGCCAGGTGCTTAACAAAAATAAACTAATAGTCTGCCACTATACATTTTCAGACTGACTTCATCTGTCTCTTATTGGCCTGAGAACAACTGGTATCTTTTTCGTATTTAGAAAAAAAATAAACCTAGCAGCAATGTTTTATGCCCTAAGCATAGGAATTAATATGTGGAATTTTGTGTTAATTTCTCCTGATGACTATAGTTTACAAGTCTGGTCAGTTTTACCCTTTTCTCGTCCATTAGATTTTATCTAGTGGTCTTTCCTTATTTGTTTACCAATACTCATTTACCACTCGGGTTTTAAGAGCATAAACAGCAGCAAAGAACACAACCAAAAGTAAACTAGGAAGTTTTTGTACACAACAAGGGTTGATTGTTTTTTTTAAAAGGGTTGACTTTAAAAAGACCTAGGTAATTGAGATTGTTCACAGCTTCAGTTTGCTCGGCTCCACGGACAACACTCTTGGCACCAGCAGCCAGGAAATCAAAAAACGTATTGCGATAGGAAAGTCTGCGGTTAGGGACCTCTCTAAAGTACTCAAGAGCAACGGTGTCTCTCTGGAGACTAAGGTGCGCCTGATACAGGCCATGGTTTTTGCAATCACTTGTTATGCATCAGAGAGTTGGACAATGACTAGGGAGGATAGAAGGAGAATTGACGCCTTTGAGCTGTGGTGCTAGAGAAGAGTATTGAATGTACCATGGACTGCCAAGAAAACAAATAGATTCATCCTAGAGAGGGTTAAACCAGGCTGCTCCTTGGAGGCAAGGATTCTGGGGCTTCGCCTGACATACTTTGGACATGTTGTAAGGAGAGACAGGTCTTTGGAGAGGGACATCATGCTGGGCAGAGTGAAGGGACAGCGCAGGAGGGGAAGACCCTCTATGAGGTGGACTGATTCAGTTACTGGGGTAATTGGGATGAGTGTGTCGGAGGCAATGAGATTGGCACAGGATAGGGCAGGGTTTAGGGCTGTTGTACATAGGGTCGCTATGAGTCGCAAACGACTGGACGGCACATAACAACAACAATTAAAAAAAAAAAGACTACTCAAAAGTGCTAAAATATACATCCATATCATAATCATGTGCATGTTGTTTTGTTGTGTGTTGTCAAGTCAGAACCAACCCATAGATGACTCTTCACTGGGTCTTCAGAGGCAGTACATTGTATGGGAGGAGACTGCCCATCCTTCTCCAGAGGAATTTGTGGATTCAAATCAGATGCCTTTGGGATTGCAGTGCAGCATCCTACCACTAGGCCACCAGAATCCATGGAGATGTTTTTAGGTGCCATGGAGTCGAGTATGACTCATAGCGACCCTATGAACAGCTGATTGAACTCTGCCCTATCCTGTGCCATCCTCTCAGTATCTGACACACTATAAAGCCCGTTGCTGAAGTGACCGTTATCAATCCATCTCACTGGGGGTTGTCTAAATAAAAATAAAACCACTATCAGTCAAAAAGATAATAATTAAAAATCATGTACACTGATTAGTTTTTTTTTAATGGAGTGAGTATGGCACTAATTTTAGAAGACTGAGATCATCTGAAAATAATTTAAAAAATTACTTAGAGCTGTAATCCTTAGAAACACTAACCTTACTTGTATTGCCTCTTGAATGGTGTCCTCCAAACAAGTATAGTACCCTATCTACGAGCACAGCACAGCTCCCTGACATAGAAGGGGGTACATCACCTTCAGTGTTCATTTTCTTCCTGAGGGGAAAAACAGCATGTAAATAAATTTCCCAAAGAGGAAGAAATGCAAATCTATTTCTCTTCTATTTATAGCCCACAATAAAGGAGAGAGAGGAATGACTAAATAATATCTAGGTCCTTTCTGGTTCTAAAACTAGCTCAGTGAGTGAATTTTCCCCTTTGCCCATTCACTGAGCAATGCCAGCTATTCCTACCCAGCAGAATGAGAGCTTCTGAAAGCCAGACTGCCATGTTTTATTGCTCTAGGAACATACTATTTTATGTCTCTAAAAACAAAACTGAGGGGTTTTCACTGATATCAAGTCAGTTTACATTTACTTGACTATAAATGGTTGAGATGTTTTTGGTGGGGGATGGGCAGTTAAGGAACCTAAAAGGTAAACTAACGATTCAACATCTTCATCCTCGCAGGTTAATCCAATGGGTATTTTTCATTCATTCACCATTCATCCATTCAAATGAATCTGATTCAGACCCTTACATAATACAGGCAGTCCCTGGATTACTAATGAGATCCTTCCTAAATATCTAAATCAAATTTATAGGTAAGTCAGAACAGTCATATTATGGTTTTTATTAAACCTTACTTTAGTGCAGAAGCAGGAGCCCTGGTGGTACTGTAGATTACACTTGACTGCTAACCAAAAGGTAGATAATTCAAACCCACCAGCTGCTCCATAGTAAAAAGATGAGGAAGTCAGCTGCTGGAAATCATATGGCGCAATTAACACTGTGTCTTACAGAGCTCCCTTAGGGCAGAGATCTTAACCTCTTTAGATAAGATAAAACTACTTCAGGAAGTGGCATATGATCAAGATAGTCTATGGTATGATATTATATGATAATATACAAGGAAGTTCAAGCTACACTGAAGGAATTGGCACAAAATAATGCCCCAGGAATTGACCAACTGACATATTTCAATCAACAGATGCAGACCTGGACATGCTTACCAGATTATGCCAAGAAATCTGGAAGACAGCTACCTTCAACTGACTGGAAACGATCCACATTTATTCCCATTCACAAAAAAAAGGTTGTTTTTGTTGTTATGTGCCGTCGAGTCGTTTCCGACTCATAGCGACCCTATGCACAACAGCCCTAAACCCTGCTCTATCCTGCGCCAACCGCACTGCCTCTGACACACCCATCCAGGGTACCAAATAGAATATGGATATTATCAAACAATATCACTAATCACATGCAAGCAAAATCTTGCTGAATATTATAAAAAAACTAAAACAGTACATCCAACAGAGAACTGCCAGAAATACAAGCTGTGTTTAGAAGAGGCTGTGACACTAGGGCTATCACTGCAGATGTCAGATGGATCTTGGATGAAAGAGAGTACCAAAAGAATCTCTATTTGTGTTTCATCGTTTATACGAAGGCATTTGACTTTATGGATCACAACAAACTGTGGATAACACTAAGAATGGGAATCCTTGAACACTTGATTGGGCTCATATATAATCTATACCTAGACAGGAAAACTTGTGCAAACAGAGCAAGGGGACACTTCATGGTTCAAAATCAAGCAAAGAGTGGTCAGGGATATATCCTCATCTGTACATTTTGATCTGAAGAGATCAAGAGGCTGGAATTTATGAAGAAAAATACAGCATCAAGATTGGAGGAAGATTCATCAATAATCTGCATAATGCAGATGACACAACCTTGCTCACCAAAACAGGAGGATATTAAGTGTTCACTGGAAAATCAAGGACTGCAACCTTCAATATGGATTTCATCTCAACCTCAAGAAAGCAAAGAACCTCACCACTGGGCCAATTCGCAGTATCATGATAGATGGATCAAAAAGATAGAGGTGGGTAATAATTTCATCTTGTTGGATACACAATCAACACTCTTAACACCAACAGTCAGGAAATTAAAAGATGAGTGGCTATAGGAAAGTGTGCTGTCAGAGACAACATCAGTTTAGAGACCAAGGTGCACCTGATCTAGGCCATGGTCTTCTCAACTGCTAACTGCATCTAAGATCTGGACTAAGGATGACAGAAGAATTGATGCTTTTGAGTTGTAATGCTGGAGAAGAATATTAAACATACTGGGGATTGCCAGTAGAATGTGTCTGTCCTGGAGAGAGTGAAACCAGATTAATACTTGGAGGCAAGGATTCTGAAGCTCCATCTCGCATACTTTAGGCATTCTGTCAGGAGGGACTAGTCCTTGGAGGACATTTGTCATTGGAAGTGTAGAGGGACAGCTTAGGAACGGAAGACCCTGGATAAGATGGTTTGACAAAGTGACTGGCAATGGGGTCATGTGTGTCAGAGATGGTAAGATTGGCTCAGGACAGGGCAAGGTTCAGAGCCACTGTTAACAAGTTCACTATGACTTGCAGTCCACTTGATGGCACCTAATGACCACAAGATAAGCCGTGCTCATAAAGGTTGCTTTGAACCTAAGGGAAGATGTGGTCTCATAGGTGGAGAGTGTATAACCTTGTTCTTCCAGATACTTAAGTAATGGTTCCTATGTATCGCGATGGGAAAGTCTGCTGTTAGGGACCTCTCAAAGGTACTCAGGAGCAACAGTGTCTCTCTGGAGATTAAGGTGCGCCTGATACAGGCCATGGTATTTGCAATCGCTTGTTATGCA